TGATTAAACCATGGACTCTTTTCTCTGGCTTTAGAACTCACAATCTCGAAAGGTGCAAGACTCTTTTTAAAATAAACAAATTTACACCATCAACAGAACTGAGAGTGGCAGACCTTTCCTGCACAAATGTGACAAGAGCTCAATTCTGATTGCTGAGATCACTGATGATCATCTTCTTAGGGTATTTCAACCCACACTTTCTTCTACCAAAATTTTGATCCCAAAAGATACTATGGGATCGAGGGAGTCATGATGATCACAATCATTGCTTGGAACTGCCAAGGGTTAGCAAAACCTACGGCAGTGAGAGCTCTAAGGTTGCTCTTGAATACTACCAAACCTGACATCTTGTTTATTAGTGAAGTAAAAAACTCTTCTCTTTCTCTCGTTTCTAAAACTCTTGTTTCTTGCTCCCTCCCTCATCTGTTTTCTTTCACTCCCACTGGCATAGTTGGTGGTCTTCTTCTTGCTTGGTCTAATTCTATTTCCTTATCGGTCACCAATCACAACAACACTCTCGTAAATGCCCACGTAATTGACCCTTCATCTTCTTCCTCTTGGCAATTCACCGGTATTTACTGCCCCTGCCATCCCACTAGAAAATCTTTCTTTTGGAATTCAATTTCCTCTCTTGCCTCCTCTTTTGATGGACCTTGGCTTTTGTTGGGAGATTTCAACTCCATCTGCTACCAATCAGAAAAAAAGGGAGGTAAACCCTTTGCCTCTTCCTCCAACCACTGTCTCTTGGCTGAGCTTAATAACCTTCATCTGATTGATCTTGGTTTCTCTGGAAATCCCCTTACCTGGAACAACAAAAGAACATGCTTTGCAAACATAAAAAAAAAGGTTAGACAGAGGTGTTGGAAACTCCCAATGGCTCACCCTCTTCCCATACTCTTCCATCCAACACCTTTCTGCTATTTCTTCCGATCACTCGCCCATCATTTTCACTTCTTCTTCCCATTCCACCCCTCATAAACCTTCCAGATTTGAGGCCATGTGGCTCTCTGATCCTACTTGTCCTGATACTGTTCACCTGGGATTGACTCCTTCTGTCCAAGGCTCACCTACTTTTGTTCTCCACACAAAGATCAAGAATGTAAAGTAAGAATTGAAAGCATGGAGGCATACACACTTTGGGAACTGTCACTCTAAAATCAAGGATCTTCAACTTCAAATTGATATGATTCAGAAAAAGGATATATCTTGTATTAATGCGGCTATTGATGAAGCTCTCCAAACTGAGCTTGAGTTATGGCTCAGTAGATTGGAGACATTTTGGTGGCAAAAATCCAGGGATAAATGGCTTACTGATGGAGATGCAAATTCCAAGTACTTCCATTTAACTGTTATTATTAATGCCAGATCAAATAAAATCTCTTCCATCAAGGGATTGGATAAGATCACTCATGTGGATATATCTTCTATTGGTAACTGTTTTGTAAACTTTTATCAAAACCTTTTCAAGTCTGATTATCCTCCCTCTTGTTTTCCTTTTCCTGAAAACCTTTTTAATCTATTCCAACATGTTTTAACTGAAGAGGATTTTGGTGATTTAACTGATATTCCTTCCCCTAAGGATATTAAACAGGTTCTCTTCTCCTTTTCTTCTCATAAAACCCCTGGTCCGAATGGTCTTCCCCCTCTTTTCTACAAAAAAATTTGGAACACTACAAAGAAAACTCTTATTGAAGCTGTCCAACACTTTTTAAAAACTTGCCATCTTCTTAAAGCTCTCAACTTTACTTTTATTGCTCTTTCCCAAAGAGCAAAAATGCTTCTAAAGTTGATCACTTCAGACATATTAGCCTCTGCAATGTTTCATATAAAACCATCTCTAAGATTTTGGCTAATATGTTAAAGTTTCATCTCCCCAAATTCATCTCCCCTATTCAAACTGCTTTTGTTAAAGATAGAAATATCCAGGAGAATACCATTATTTCTCAGCAGATCATGCATTATCTTCACATGAAAAAAGGTTTAAAAGCTTTTATGGCTATTAGAGTGGACTTAGCAAAAGTTTTCGATAGAGTTGAATGGAGTCTTCTCCTTTGTATTCTCACTAATATTGGTTTCTCTAGTGTGTTCATAGATTGGATCAAAGAATGCATCTCTTCATCCTCTTTCTCCTTTCTTATCAATGTAGCTCCCTTTGGCAATGTGATCCCCACTAGAGGAATCAGACTGGGAGACCCTCTGCCCCCTTTCCTTTTTGTTTCTTATATTGAGCTTCTCTCTAGATTATTCTCTTTTTCTGAGCTTAATAATCACTTCAAAGGTGTTAAAATTGCAAGAACTGCTCCCACTATCTCTCACTTGCTTTTTGCTGACGATTTAGTTATTTTCTGCAGGGAAAATGTTGAATATGCAAAGGCAATCAAACAGATTCTGGACCTGTTCTCTAACTGGTCAAGCCAACATGCAAATGCTGATAAATCCCAAGTCCATTTTAGTAACAATATAAATCCGCAAATGAAGATTGAAATCCTGAATATTTTAGGATTCAAAGAGTGCAACCATAAATCTTAGAACTTGGGACTGCCTTTCTGCAACCAAAAAGATAGGAAGCTTACTCTCAATGATTTAATGATCAAGGTCAATTCCCACCTCAGTGGCTGTAGAGCAAAAAATCTCTTTCAATCAGGTAGATCCGCCCTACTTAAATCTGTTGCTCATGATCTGCCCTCCTATATAATGCCATCTACCATTATCCCCGTGAGCATTTGATCTTCTCTTGACGCGCTCTTCATGAAGTTTCGGTGGGGACAAATTGCAAATGGCAACTCCCTCATGTTAAAAAGTTGGGATTCAATCTGCAAACCTAAAGCCTTGGGAGGGCTTGGATTCAGAAAAATGGCCGATGCGAATAGAGCCCTCTTTTCCAAAGTGGTCTGGTCAATGGCTACTGGTAAAAACATTCTTTGGGTCAACTTATTGGCTGCAAAGTATATGAGAGGGAAGTACTTTCTACACTCTAATCTCTCTATTAAAGGGTCTTCTTGGTTGTGGAGTGACATTCATAAGACTAGAGATCTCATTTTAAAGGGTGCTTGTTTTTCTGTTGTCTCTAATTCTATTGTGCTTACTTGGAAAGATCCTTGGATTCCTACCCATGCTGGCTTCAACCCCCCTTCTCTTAACCTCTTCTCTTATCTTTCTACCTAGACACGGCCATTGTCCGGTTTTGGGCCCGGAATCGGCCCGAACCGGCCCGTTGACGACCCGGCCCAACCCGTTGACCGGTGAACCGGCCCGTCGTCCCCGGGACGGGTCCGGTTCTATGAAATGGTGAACCGTGAACCGCCAGGCCGGCCCAGCAGTTCACCCGAATTTAAAAAAAAAAATTCAAAAGAATTCAAAAAAAGAGCAAATAACGGCTAATGAACCGGCTCGAACCGGCCCGGGTGAACCGGCTGTTATTTGTTTTTTTTTGAATTCCCCCCCCCCCCCCAATTTTTCCTATAAATACCCTCACACCCCAATTTTTCCTATAATTTACTTATTCATCAAATATTTCAAAAAAAAAAAAAATTCAAATTTCCGGGCCGATCCGGAACCGGCCCGAACTGGCGGGCCGACCCGGCCCGTCGAACCGTGCATATTACGGGCCGGTTCCGGTTCCGGAAAAAGTGAACCGTGAACCGGTATGAACCGGCCCGGAACCGGCCCGAACCGGCCCGTGGCCGTGTCTATTTCTACCCTTGTTAAAAACTTCATTGTTGAAGAGTGCTGCTCTTGGAATATCAACCTCCTTAACACTTATTTCCCTGTTAATATTGTGAAGGAAATCTTGAGAATCCAGATCTCTCTTGTGGCCCTGACTAATGCACTCTTTTGGTCTCCCTCCAAGTCGGGGAAATTCTCTACAAAGAGTTCTTATCTCACTGACCAAGCCTCTCGTTTCTCCTTTAATTCCTCTTCAGCCCTGCTCTTTCCCTCAAACTCTCTCTGGTCTTCTAAAATTCACAATAGACATAAGCTTCTCTTCTGGAAAATTATCAACAATCTTATCCCTACTAAAGCTAGATTGAATTGTATTTTTCCCTCAACTGATTCAGCCTGCTATTTTCGTTGCTCCCCTCTTGAAGATATAAATCACTTGTTCTTATCCTGCCCTTTTGTTCAATAACTTTGGTTCATTTCTAAATGGAACATTCGTATTGATCCTTTTAGAAATGAACCAATCTCTGTGTGGCTTGAATTTATTCTTGATAGATCGAACAAATTCTTTCCTTCTCCTGCTGCTAGGGAAGAATTTGTTATTTTTACTGCTGTTTTGTATGATCTTCTTTGGTTTAATAGAAATAAAGTGGTTCATGGAAATCCTTCTCTCTCTTTACGAACTTCTCAAAAAGGTTTCTACAAGTGCAAAATAACATTCGAAATGCCAATCTCTCAAAGCCCACAAAGCGGGAATTAGACCGGCTCAAATCTGGTGCAAGCCTTCCCTTGGCTGGATCAAGATCAACTCAGATGCATCCTTCCTAAATGGCTGGTAAGATGTATTATCAGAAATGAAAACTACTCTATCATCTCTGCCTCTTCTAGGGCCCATGCTTGCATTGACTCCCTCGCTGCAGAAGTGTTAGCAATTTTGGACGCTTGCAAACTTATCAACTTTGCAAAGATCACTAATGCCATTTTTGAGTCCGACTGCATCAATGCTATTCAAGTAATTCTTGAGGATGATCCTTCAGCTCAATGGACTGCTCAAGTTCCTATTGATAAATTAAGAGATTTTGGGCCCTCTGGCCCAAATGGAAATTCAAGTTTATTCCTAGATCAGCGAATGACTATTGTAACTTTCCTTTCTTTTAAATTATCAGCTTCTTTTTTTTAAAAAAAAAAATTAGCCAATAGGTTATTTATCTTATGATATATATGATTAAAAAAAGAAAAACTAATGATCTTGAATGAAAATTTATAAATTTGATCATTTACATAAAAGGAAATAAAATCGAAATATGTACAGAAATTGTCAATAAAACTATAACATATCTTCACGACGACGAATGCGCCACCGATTTACACATCGGACAGAAATTTTTGACGCGCAGCCACTGTCGGATGCAATCCGAGTGATATACGTGTCTGCAGTCAAGAATTCCGACATGATTATTATTAGTACTTTGATCGGGGCAGTACAAATCATCCAAACATATCGCACAAACTTCGCTTCCTTCTTCGCCCGCGGTGGCGCCGCCTCGATTATCGATATAATAATTAGGACAAGAATTAGTAATCTTTATTATCTTCACACACTTCTTGATCTGAGATTCCGACAAACCAAAACCACCACCACCACCAGCACCGTTGTTATTATTACGAGGTATTGCATGTTGTTGTTGCTGACGTGGATGAACAGTGGTCCCATTCAGAATTAGGGTTTCATCTTCACGAAAATAATCAAAATGTTGTTGTGGAGGAGGAGGAGGAGGATTAATCGAGAAATCTTGATGAACGTAGTAGTAGTCGTAGTAGTTTTGTGGAGGAAGAAGCTGTTGGGCCGCCGTCGTTCTGATATATTCTCCGGCCACCGGAAAACCAGATCCACCACCACCCCAATGCGGCGGCGGATGAGTGCGCAGAGCCCTCTGTTGATAGACATACTGGTGGTGTTGGTGAGCGGCGCGGCGGCCGTACGGATTATAAGGAATACTGCGAGGAAGAATATGATCTCCGGCCACCGGAAAAGCAGTGCCGACGGATCTCTGAAAACCTCTGAATGCCATTATAACTTTCTTCCAGAGAGAAGGAATATTGAGAAATTTGCGATGAAATAATGTTGTGTGTGTGTGTGTGTGTATATATATATAATTTGTACTAATTGTTACCATAATTGAGTCAGTAATATATAAGGTAATTAATACAACAAATCTTTGTTTGTTTTTTTTACCGTTGGGATGACAGCTTCCTTAATTACCTTTACACGGTAAAATTTAATTTAATTTTATTGGACACGCTTTTTTAATTCGTTAAATAATATATAATATTTTCATGATTTTTAATTTACCCAATGTTTTACAATTCTTTGAAATTTATGATGATATTTTGCCTTACAAAAACAATCAAACCAAATAATAATAATAATAATAATAATAATAATAATAATAATAATAATAATAATAATAATAATAATAATAATAATAATAATAATAATAATAATAATAATAATAATAATAATAATAATAATAATAATAATAATAATAATAATAATAATAATAATAATAATAATAATAATAATAATAATAATAATAATAATAATAATAATAATAATAATAATAATAATAATAATAATAATAATAATAATAATAGGGGAAATGAGGGATAACCCCCTAGTTTTTAAAATATATATGCATAGGTCCTATTGATTTTTCTTTCCTAGTCAAAAACCCAAATTCTAATCTTAATTAGTGAGACCCCCCTGAGCAACTTGAAATACCTAATTTACCCTTTTAATTTTTCAAACCCTAGTTTCTCTCTCACTCATCAGCCATTACATCTCTCCCCCCTCTCTCTAACTCTCTCTCTATCCACCAGTCATACGAGCACCTCTGCTCCTCTCCCAACTTGCGCCGCCCACAGTCGTTGCTCCTTCCACCGCCGCCGCCGACGTTGCTTCTTTCGTCGTCGCCTACCGCTACTTCTCCCTCCGCCGTCGCCCGCCGCTACTGCTCCCCTGCTGCCGCTGCTCCCGACACCGAGAACGGAGCCGCTGCTCCCTCCACCGAGAACGGAGCCGCTGCTCCCTCCACCGCCGCCCGCAGCCGCTGGTTTCTCGCCGCCAATATATATAGATCTGGTGTATATATATATATATATATATATATATATATATATATATATATATATATATATATATATATATATATATATATATATATATATATATATATATATATATATATATATATATATATATATATATATATATATATATATATATATATATATATATATGTTTGTGTGTGTGTGTGTGTGTTTGGGTTTATTTAAGTGACTGCTAAAGCTGATTATATTTGGATATTATTATTATTTTTTTTTTGAGTAATATTTGGATATTATTATTGTTCTTATCTTCTAATCCAGATAGAAAACAATGGAGCTAATTCAGTATCGGAAATTTTGCTACCATTCCCTGAACATCAAGCAAATAACTTTGCTTTCCTTTCAGCCAAAATCAGTGAAGGAAATATATACAAATTTGTTGTTGTTGCACGGGATCCGTAATTCGACGACGATTTGTATTTCCGGAGAAGAATAGGATATGTATTCCGGCCGCAATCGATGAACATAATCAATATTTCAATGTATTCCGCCGCACGAGTCTCTAATCTGTATGAGGTAATTTGTTGTAAATTTTTATTGTTTCATGGATTGATGTTGGACACTTGTATTAAGTTCGAACTATGTGAAAAAATTAGAACGGATGATTTACGCAATTGTTTAGGTATCTTTTTTGTGTAATAAAATGAGTTGCTTGATGAATTGTTTTCCTTGAATTGGGTGGCGGAGTAGAATGTGGTGGGAGGTTTTTTTTTTTTGGTTTGTATATATTTACTGCATTTATTAAGATGAAAATTACCTAGTCATATATAGTCACATGTAGTAACAAGAAGTAACATAACTACATGTGACTATACTTGACTATATAGTCACATGTAGTCATATATAGTCACATGTTGTAACAAGAAGGAACATAACTACATGTGACTATATATTGTTTAGAAGTGCTTCGATTAATTTTATGATGCATAAATTATTAGGTATTGCAGCGTTCATTTAATTTTACTCGTGAATTAGAATCCAAGGAAAGTGATGGTATAAGTAGCTCAGACAATGATGATGATTTAAGCCATGTGATTAAGTTTAAGATTTCGGACTTCAATGTTCATGATCGTGTTAGCATTGGCCTTGGGGATAGGGTAAGTAGCAGTTTATTGGCTTCTCTTGCTATTTATGTTGTAAGATTGAGTTCATAAAGTTTCATGTTGCTATGATCTGACTGTGTTCATTGTGTTTTTGTTGAGTTGTAATGCAGGGTGATGAAATTGTATATGAAGCTACAGTGAATGAAGCTAGTAGGTTTGTTTTGATTTACGGCATTCGTTTCAGGATTTTATCAACCGATCATGAAGAGAAATATAAATTCTAATAATGCTCTCTTTCTAGTAATGCAGTCCAATGTTCAATAAGAAAGTTGTGCTTCGGCGACTGGTTAGCAATCAGGTGCAGCGTAGGAGAAGAAGGGCAATAGAGGTATGCTAAGTTGACACATTAGTAAGTTACATTTTGAAAATGATGATATATTGTCCGACTTTGATGTCTTCTTGGTGAAATTACATTTAGGTATTGAAAAGACTGGCTCACCATAGAGTAATGTACCATTCTTACTCGGTTCAAGTTCATGGCTATATATGTTCATCCACAAATGATAACAGTGGTTAATTTACTCTAGTAGATGGTGTAAGTTTCTCTTTCTCAAAAAGTCAATCTAGAGGGGTGCTCCCGTTTTCATTTATTATGTTAGTTAATGTGCTAATGATTTCATATTTCCAAGATGATTGAGGGTCTGAATTATTTTTATGTTCAGTATCATGGCATTTCTTCTTTGAGACATTGGCTTCAACAAGCAGATTGGCTACCAACTCTAGAAGCTACTCTCGTGTTGGATGAGGAGTCTGTCAGGCGAGTCGGTGATGATACAGTGGGAGGACCTGCAGTTTCTCGACAATTACGTCTTATTCGAAACTTGGCTGTACTTGTTTCAGTGTAGGAGAGATTTGCGTTATCAAGTCATATATAGTCACACGTGGTCATATACATATAGTCATATATAGTCACGTGTAGTCATATACATGTAGTCATACATAGTCACGTGTAGTCATATACATGTAGTCATATATAGTCACGTGTAGTCATATACATGTAGTCATATATAGTCACGTGTAGTCATATACATATAGTCATATATAGTCATGTGTAGTCATATACATGTAGTCATATATAGTCACGTGTAGTAACTCGTAGTAATATATTGTTATCTATAAGCTATATAAGTTATGTGTTTTTTCTGATGTATAGTGATGTTGATGATTGTGTTTTTCCAATTTTTTGTTGGGTATTAATTGATTTATAATATCAAGATTAAATTGTGAATTTTTGTTTTTTGTGAGATGAAGTTTTTTTTATATAATCATATGTAATATATATACAATAGTCATGTGTAGTCAATTTCAATACAGTAAATTTATCAAAAAAATTGAAACAAAATTAAAAATTAAAAATTAAAAAAATTAAAAATTTTAAAAAATTAAAAAAATTAAAAATTACAAAAAATTAAACAATTTTAAAAAATTAAAAAAATTAAAAAAATTAAAAAAATTAAAAAAATTAAAAAAATGAAAAATACAACAGAGGTATATATAAAAAATAATAATAAAATAAACATTTATAATTTTTTATTAAAAAAATCTGATAATATGATAAATGCAGGTCTAAATGTTAATTGCAGTTGACCATAATGCTGAATGCAGTTAGTAAAAATACTGAATGCAGTTGGGCAAAAATTAGTTATAAGGGCACAATAGTACTTTTGCCTATCCAGGGGGTTATCTCAAAGAAAGAATTTTAGGGGTGGACCTATCCCTATATATTTTCCATATTAAGGGTGTATATCAAATGGACCCTTTACTTTATTAGTGATAAACCCTTATTTATTAAATAAAATTAATATTTTGTAATATTTTTCACGGTATGACTAATTTAGCCCTGAGCTATAATTTACGTCATATAACTAATCACAAAATTCTCGGTTGAATTAATAAGCATCTCTCTCTTTATCTCTCATCTCTCTCCTCTCTCGCTTTCTCTCTTTCTCTCCCTTCTCTGTAGGCCGTTCAATCTCAAGTAGAAGAACAATCAGAACTCCCACGACGACAATCACCAACAAATCATCAACTAGGTAGGTCGTTGGCGAGGAACTCTAAGACGAAGTTATTTGCCCTGGTTTTATGGCGGCCCTGGTTTTGCAGATCGGCAGCATAAGCTGCTTCCACGGGCTTCATATGTTTTTTAGATGTATATTGTTGTTAAGTTTTGCGTGGCGCGTTAGGGTTCGTCGGAATTAGGTGTTTTTTTTTTTTTTTTAATTTATAGTCTTTTTGAATTGGGTTCATTATAGGTGGCGACTTAAGGATTTTGTTGGAATTGAGTATGTGGAATTAGGTTTTTTATAGTCGTTTTTTATAGGATTGGGAGTTGATTTTGGAACTGCAAGAATGTTAGTACATTTTGTGCAAATGTAGTTGATGTACTCCAAATGTATAGTTGGTTTTGATTAATTATTTTTAATTTTCAGAAGAAAAATAAAAAGTTGTCTGTTCATTTAACAACTTTTTAATGGTGATGATCTAACGTGATTTCACCGGGCAAGATAATTCAATTATTTTATGGAGGACATAAAATGAGATTTTTTTCTATGTGAAATACGGGAATGTTGCTTTGCCCATGGCTTCGGAGGCATTTGCTGTGATTAACGGCTTTAGATGCATGTGTTGTGATTAATGGTCTTGATGGTGGAATAATGTGAATTAATAAATAGTTGTTTTCATAACCGCACTAGTTTGAAGATGTGTTGATTTAATAAATAGTTGAATTAATAAACAGTCGATTTAAGGAATAGTTGATTTGTATTCATGTACTATAATGGATATAAGTTGATTGAATAAATAGTTGATTTAGAAAATAGTTGATCTGTATTAATGTACAATGGATATAAGTTGATTGAATAAATAGTTGATTTAGAAAATAGTTGATTTGCATCAAACATGCAAAGAACCCAATTACCAACTACTTTTATGAACTATTTTTGACCACATTTTTTGTTTTTAAAATAAAATGCAAGGAATTTTCCAAACATACATTCAACTAAGATGATAAGCAACTTTTCGTGTAAATCAACTGTTATGAAATCGACTATTATTTTTTTAAATCTACTATTAGTTCTTCAATCAACATAAGTATTAGAAATCAGATAGTGCCAACATATAGTCAACATTAGGATACAAATTTAACATCAACAAATACTTTAAACAACTATTATTCATAAACTACTATTTTCTTAAAAATAAAGTTCCAATATCGTTCCCAATCACATCCTATTCAAACTTGTCTTTGTAATCAACTGTAAAAAAATATTAACTAGAAACCACAAACTTCACACAACTTGTGCAGCAGGTTTTTCAAACCCATTTGTGTAACAAAACATACTTCATATTATAAATAACAAATAATACAACTAGAATTGTAATTATCAAATTCGACTAAATAATTTAAAAATATTTTAGATTTATTAACCTGTGTCCAGGAGTCAAAAAAATTTCGTCGTTTTCATCTGTCGTTCCCCTGTACAACAAAAACACACACACAAAAAAAGTTAGGGTTGGTTTTTTGAAAAAGATGTAGTAGGTTTTAAACATGACTATTTGTATGAGCCGAACGTACTGATAAAAATTAGCACAATAATAGTTCTTCTTGTAGTCGTTCGCTGCCGACGTAGGTACGAGAACACGGCGAAATTGTAGTAGATTTAGAATCCTGTATGATTTTGCCGGCGACTCTCATCGTTGATTGGAAGCTTCGTCGATTTATTTTTCTGGCCTACAATGGTCGCCGACGTAGTTGAATTCAGATGGTTTGAGATTTTGTTTTGGTAGTGGCAGTTGAGAAGGAAGGTGGGTGCGAGGAATGGGGGATTTGGGGGAGTGATTATAGCAGTGCTTGCGTGTCTTCATAGGGGTATAAGGGGTATAAAGAAAATAGTGGATCTAGTACTAATATGTAAAATGTGAGTGGATCCACTCTTATTAAAAAAATACTAGAGGGGGTTTTCACTAATAGACCCTTCAAATAAATCCAACCCATTCAAACTTATTTGCATATAAGGAAAATCCTTTTATATATACCAAAATTACCCCCAATTCATTGAAACCCAATTTAACTCCAATTTCATGATTTACACCTCAATGTAGCCCAATTTCATCAATTAACCAATTTTAACACTAATTTCAATTTTGACCCCAATTTTGACCCGCCACCACCGGAGACCGCTGGTCCCAAACAGTAATATTACTGTCTGAGACAGTAATTTAGTAGCCAAGACAGTAATATTAATTAAAATATTTTTTTTCTAAGAAAAACAATAAAAAAAAAAAAAAAAAAGTCAACGCCGGAGACCGGCGGTCAACGGTGGTTGACCGGCCGGAAATAAATTACAGGAAAAAAAAAAAGTTTCAAAAAAAAAAAAAAAAAAGTCAATGCCGGAATCTGGCCGGAAAAAAAATATTTCAGAAAAAAAATTATTTTCTGAAAAAAAAAAGTTTTGGGGGTTAATGTGATATATTTGTTTAAATTCGGGGTCAATGTGTAATATTAAGGAAGTTAGAGTATAATGGGTGGAATTGATAAGAATTATATTATTGAGGGTATTTTAGACTAAAGGCATGGGGATGGGCTTAATAGAGAGACTGTTTTTTTTGTGGACCAAAATGCATTTAAGTCCCATGTGATGGACCTTTTTGCCATTTGCCCTTTTATATATATTTTCTCCCTAAAAAAAAAAAAAACCTTGCATATTATTGGACAATGTAATTTAATATTATAATATTAGGGTTGAGATTGTTTTTGTGAGATTGATTTCCCACAAAAGTTGCCAAATGTACTCTTACAAGAATCTCAATTTCTTTTTACAAAATATTCCCTTCATTTGTTTATGCTGAAGTTGACTCAGCCGGTTTATTTGATATTATTTGTTAACGCATACTATTATGGAGTAAACTGCAAAAAGTATCTATGTGAAATCTCTAAATAGCAAAAAACCCCCTATAATAAATAAACTAGCAAAAACCTCCCTGTGAAATTTAGTCAAAGTCAGAAACCCCCCTGATTGACTTTCGTGTGGCTCACTCGGGGGATGCACGATTGGTACTTGGTTTTTGGACGTGAAATGACGAATCTGACCCTCAAAATGTATTTATATGTGTATATATGTTGTTTTTAATTTGATTGTTTGGAAATTAAAATATTATTAAAAAAATAGTAAACGGTTAAATTGAAAAAATATTAAAATTTTGGTAATCAAATTAAGTATAGGTTTTTTTAAATACATAATAATAGAATTTAAGTTTTCTTTTGATGTAGGGATAATTTAAAATATATACATAAATGATCAAATAATAAAAATAGAATAATAAATAATCTAATTAAGATATAAATAAAATAAAATAATTAAAATGTTTAAAAATATAAGAATTTATTAGTTGTAAAACCCCGAGGGTATTTGTGTCTTTTTATAGCAATTTACACTCAAATAAATAATGGGCTGAATGTGCTATATAAATAATGTCATAGGGAAGTTTTTGCTAGTTTATTTATCACAGAGTTTTTTATGCTATTGAGAA